TAATGGAGGCGATGGCTAAGTACCAGGCGGTGTAAGTGGTCATACCCAAGCCGAGGAATGACCAGATTCGGTAGTTATGAAACGACGGTATGAACACAGTGGTTGCACAACACGCGCCGAATATATAAGTCCATGTTCTCTTGTCCAAGTGATCGTTTATGTAATAAATGTTACTGCAACCAATCCCAATCATCATTTTTATTATAATCATCCAATAATAATTAAAAAGAGAAAGAGAGATCATTAAAAGAGAGATTAAAGAGACCTGGCACAAGCAATGAGTTGGATTACAGATCCGAACAAGAGGAAAGTGCAATTAAATGCGAGTCCTATGGCTTTCCAGTATGTGCCAAGTAGTCCATCAAGTACTTCAAACCACTGTAATTAATATTTTAATTACTAAACTTAATTACATGTTAATGAGTGATTAAGTGTTTTTTTTTTAATTTTTACCTGGATAACGTGGTTTTTGAAGCTTTTGCCTTCTTTCTCTTTACGAGCTCGATACTCAACGTAGAGAACACTGATGAGATAAGCAGTCCAGCTTCCGAGTAAACCATAGAAGATTTGTAACACTATTCCTGATAACATCCCTAGTTGACTGAACGAGTACGGCAACGTCAAAAGCACTTGCGCCACCTGAAAAAATAAAATACATATTTCTTGAGGTTTCTTGAAATCAAGATTTTCTTGTTTATTTATTTAAGGGTTCTTGAAGTTTGTACCTGGTTAGATGCGCAGCTGAACCAAGCGTCCCAGACTGAGCCACCGTGCCAGAGGAAGTTGCTTAGTGCAGAACCGGTAGAGGGGTCGTAGTCGTCGGTTTTTCCGGTGTGGTTGCCGCTGATCTGTTCTCCTTCGTTGTCATTTATGCTTGGGACTATTGCCTCTTCTCCATGACTCACTCCCGCCGACATTTTTGCTTTTAGATCTGAGGAAGAAATATATAAATATGGTAAGATAGAGAGAGGAGTCAAAACCTAAGTGAACCCTCTAAACAGAGAAGGGAAGAAACAGAGCAGTGAGAGAGATCTAAGACGAATATCAGTTAAAGTAGAGTGTAGAAATATTATTCCTTGTTCACGTTTTATCTCTTCTTTAGTGAGAAAGAGAGTGACTTACGTTATCTCTTTAAGAGAAGAGAAGAAGAAGGTGGGAACGAATCAGAAGCAAACAAAGACCAAAACTGATAGGGTCCTTTTAGTTCTCACTAGTTCTTCTTTTAAATAAAAAAAATATCTACTCTCTCTATCTTTTTCTGACTTCAAGAAACAGAGCATGAACCAGAAGATGGCAGAAGAGGAGAGAGAGAGAGATAGAGAGTTATGGAAAGAAGGAGAAAGACTTTCTTTGATCAGAGCAAAAAAAGGAATGAAGAAGCTAAAATAACTATAAGATGCTTCGAACTTCACCCCCTCTCCTTTTTATATACTTACCAATATCTTGTCTTTTTTTATTTCTTTTATTTTTGATAAAAGAAAACATAAACAGATTAAACAGCTGCTGTAAAATCACACTACCATTAACTCTTTTTTTAGGTAACGTTAGCATCCAACTTTTTTTTACGTTTCCGCATTAATAATTAACGTGACCATTGACATCCAGAATTTCCGGGTTCTACTTATAAAATAAAACATTTGTTGTAATCGCCAAAAGAAAACGATTTGTTAAAAGCCCATACATAATCGTATATAAGTAGAATACACATTTCTCATCTAACAAATCATTGGTTGTACTTGAATGACAAAAAAAAAATCAATTAAAGAAAATTAAAGGCATGATGACAAAAAAAAATGCAATACAATAAAGTTAACGATTTATTGGACTTGTTGCATCTAGATTTAGAGATCTATTTTTCAACAGCTATCTATTATACAACAGTCAGCATTCTTTTTTTTACTTATATGATTAACCACCGGATTAAAATTACTTTTTTTTAATAACTTATATAGAACTTAATCTAGCTGGAGTGATCTTAGAATATCATATGATCCGAAGTGAGCAACCAAGTATCTGTAAGACACCTGATCATCGACAAAAGGCTTCATGTATTGAGTGAATGAGTGATGCGTTTGCAAATTACTCATTGCCCACCTAAGAAATAATTGGGTACTACGGCATTACTGAATACAAATACTTTTCAAAATAATGGATAATTCACATATAGTTGGAATACAATCATGATGAAACTATATGGATTACTTATTTTCAAGTTTACAACTCACACATATCGATTTGTTATCTGAACATTTAATTCTCACAAGATAGAGTCAAAAAATACTTTCTAAATGTTATAAGTTAAAATATTAATTTAGTTATAAATAGTAAAAAAAAAATATTTTTTTTTGAGAAATAGTAAAAAATACTCCCTCCGTTTTATATTAAGTGTCATTGTAGAGAATTTTTTGTGTTACAAAATAAGTGTCGTTTTCTGTTTTCAATGTAAAATTTATTAATTTTATTATGTAATTTGTTTTTCTATTGGTTAAAACATGGTTAGGTGTATGGGTAATTGTGTTTTTATATAGGAAATATGTAAAATTAATTGTTTCCTTAATCCGTGTGCATAGCTGTAGAGTGACACTTATATTGAAACAGAGGGAGTATAGTTTTGTGCACTGAACGAGTATATATGCACTTAATACTAGTGTGGCAATCTTTGTTTCTAAGTTTTCTAAGTAACCTTCTTGCTCAGCTGCTTAAAAGGTTGAAAACGCTTGATCCCTCTGAGTTGTCTCATTATCTCTAATTATATTGCCCGATCGATAGTACTGAAATGTTGGATATATTATTGTATAAATGTTCCCGTTCTTAAGAAACGAGATAATTATTTGTAAACAGCGAAATTTGGTTAATTCTTGAAATTTTAGAAAATCAACAACTTCTCTTGATCCATGACATATAATCAACTTGCAAAATATTTTAAACAGATATAAAGATGGCCTATGTGTATATAGAGAGTGAATTTATGTAAAGGCGGTAATGTGCAGGTCTTCTTTAAATTGGTGCAGAAACTGCAGATTTTACCCAAGGACCTGCTTGTGTTTTGCTTCTGTTTCACGCAAAATTAATGTAAATTTATACTTTTTCTGGTTAATGAAAAATAAGTGTTAGTAATAAGTTGGTTTCCAAGAAGCGCAGATTTAAGTTGTATTTTATTATAGCATTTCCAGTTCCATCTCCATTTTGAAATAAATTTATGTGGATGGTATGTTGTTTTCACCTTTAATCATGAATAGTCTAGTTCAAAAAAAAGATTCCTCTAGTTTCAATTAACTTTTGTATTTACAAAATGATATTTCAAATTTTATTTTTATTATCTATTAATTCGGTTAAGAAAATAGCAAAAATATACAACAAATGGTGTTACAAAAAAAAATATATATATATACATAACAACAAATGAAAATGACCAACTATCTCGTTAGTGAATAAGAAACCATACATTGTTGTATCATTTATTATTGATGATTTTTTTCAATCCACAAAATAACCAAGTAATTTAGTCTCGCTCAGTTCCAAAACATTCATTCAGCAAATTTGAGAAAACATATATTAATATATTATTCAACGAGTACTTATTTAGTTTAGTAATAAATGTATTGTTCATTTGATCCAAAACAATACTCTTTCCGTTTCTTTTTGTATGATGTTTTAGAGAGTTCTTATTGTTTCAAGGGAAAATTTGGTGAATATACAAAACAAAAAGAGAAATGAAGGATATATCTATGATTTTGACATTATTAGGTAAATAACATTTAGCTCAAGTTTCAGTCGGTTATACCCTTGTTGTTTCTAAGTTACCGGTGATAAAGAGTGGAAAAAGATGAAGTCGATGAATAAACATATATGGACAATATAAAATCTTCACGTGTTAATATAAATCACCACGTCACTCAATTAATTACCACATACGTAAACCATGTAGTCAATAAATGGGTGGTTAAAATAGAAATCTTTGTGAATAAAAAAGCTATTCTATTTCTGAAATAGGATAAATTCATCTTCTTACCAACATTGAAACAGTAACATAAATAAATGATGAATAGGTTC